ACTGAATCGAACGCACTCTTGAAATCGAGGAGCACAGCTATTGTCGGTCTGCGGTATGCGTGACGCTGCTCTAGCACCTGCCGCAAAGTAAATATATGGTCTATACAGCCACGTCCTGGGCGAAAACCAGACTGCTCTTCTGCAGTGAGGCGACGAACGATAATCGAGGCCAGTAACTTTGTCACAACTGGCGTTAGGCCAATACCCCTGTGGTTCGCACAGTCTGTGCGACTGCCCTTCTTGTATATTGCCACTACAATCGATTCGCTCCAATTAGTCGGCACACTCTCTTCGTTCCAGATACGTTCGAATAGGGAGGTCAGTGCCCTGCAGAGGACCTCACCTCCATCCATAAATAGTGCAGGTGGGAGGGAATCCGGGCCAGCGGCACGAAAATGATTAAGGGCTGTGTTCGCGTTTCGGACCTCGGCCTCCGACGGAGGCTCTAAACTAACCGTCCATGGCACGTCCTGCATCACCTGAGTAGGAAGAGGTCCGGGAGCAGGGGGACAGCTGAACTGATCTTGAAAGTGTTCAGCCCAACGAGCCATACGGTGCTCCTTATTGTGTATCAGCGCACCCGCGCTGTCCCTGATTGTCTCACTGACGCCTGGTTTTCTGGGACCAGTGGTGCGGATAAGCTGGAAGAGCTTCCGGTAATTGCCTACTGCTCCTGCCTCCTCCATTTCTTGGGCCCGACTGGTCCACCAGGCTCCGCTTTAGTTCACGCCTAATAGCCCGTCTGGTCACATTGTGTTCAGAATCAGTCGGGAGATGTCTTCTAGTTTCCAAAAAGTTCACGGACCTCTCGGATATCCAGTGACTGGTGCGGTGACGACTGATAGTGCCACAAACAGATGCTCCTGCGGCGTGCATAGCGGCCGAGATTCTATTCCACTGAAGTTCAAGTTCATTAGGACAAGACAGCGAGAGTTCGCTAAGCAGTGCTTCTTGATAGGCGTGCCTGACAGAGGGCTGGGACAATTTCTCCGTTGCCAATCGGGGGAGACGCTTTGTGCGTCTTCCGGTAAAGTTCATGGAGAAACGACAGCGCACCAAGGCATGATCAGAGTCGACACAGGTACTTCAGTATGAGTGGCAATCCAGAATGGAACTGCGCCACCTGTAACTTATGGCTATGTGGTCAATTTGGGTCCATCGCTGGCCAGCTAAAGGTGGACGCCAAGTGGCACTTCGGCGCCCACTGTGTCTAAAAGCCGTGCTAGTAAGAAACAACTGGTGATCCGCAGACAGTTGCAGCAGACGCTCGCCGTCGTCAGTCCGTTCGGCGTTAAGTCCATACTTACCACCTAGCTGAGCTTCTGAAGAGCTCAGACGCCCTACTTGTGCGTTCATATCCCCTGCAAGTACTATAATATCTGAACTAGTAGTACTGCGTAGCAGCGTGTTCAGTTCGTGATAGAATGTGTCCTTGACTGTATTAGAACTGCAGTCGGTGGGAGCATAAGCAAAAATCACAAACAAACAGCGTTTTGTTTTACTTCGCGAATGCACCTTAGCTGATGTCGTCAAACGGGCTGCACATAAACGGCTATTCTCCGGAATCCAATCAACCAACGATGACTCAGCCTTGCAGCTGAAAATGATACCTACACCAGCTTGACCCGTGAGTGCCGCATCGGCGTCTCCGGATGCGTGCAACCAATAACGAGAGGATAAGTCGGGTGCAGTCAATTCAATAACCCCGTTAGGGTCATTAATCCTAGTTTCGGACGCACAACACACATCAACACCCAGTGTATCCAAGGTGCGTGCGAGTGCAGCCTGCTGACCTGTTTGTCCTAGAGTGCGGACGTTGAATGTCGCCATGGAAACGGGACAGCGTGGCCTTATAAGGGACTTTTGCCGATAGGCGTCCGATAGATGCTGTGGGATGGTGGCTGCAGATGGTACTACTCCAGTAGCACTTCGGTTGCTGTCAATTAAGCTGGGAATTATAGAAGGAAAGTTAGTAATAGGGGCCGGGATGGGAGTAAGAGAAAAAGGTGGAAAAGAAAGAAGGGAGGCGCCAGCAGTAGCATGTTTTCGCTTATCCGCCCTGCTGTATGCAGCAGATAAGGCGACCCTTGATAATCTGCGCGACGGCCGATGCAGGATGAAGTTTATGTTTGAAGAAAATGGCATGGTTGTCAAACGTGCTGTTCGACGGAACTGTTCGGTATGCTCGCCAGCATCTAGACCGCTTCTTTAGCAGGTTCTTCCCCGCGGAATCTATCCACGGAGGCTGCGCTCTCGATTCCTTTCTTTTTACCAGTGGGATGTGAGGTGCAGAAATGTCGACGTGAGCCTTAAGTTTTTCCCCGGCTATGTGAACAGTATCGGTGTGAGATATCACACAAGGCGATGACCTAGCTTTATCCCGCATCGCTTGGAAGCCCGCGGCCCGAATGTTCGGACACCAACTGGTAGTAGCTTGGCAAGACCTGATAAGAGCACACTGGAAAGACAAGCAAACGTGACCGCTATCGCCAAGAGGCGAGTCGTATTTAATGTCATTTACAAAGTCAAGTGACTTAGCAAAAACAAGATCTAAAATGGACGGCTGCTGATTGCTCATGTACCTAGTGGGGAGGTCCACGAACTGGTGCAGTGGTACCTGCAGCGTTAAGTCCAGCTGTTCTGTACCGAACGATTCCAGAGCCGAACTGTAAGATAGATCAGCCCAACAAACCTCTGGGAGGTTAAAGTCGCCCAGCACCAGACACTTGTTCGCAGAGTGAGTGCGTATAAACTCAATGATTCCATTTGAGGTGCTCATAGGGCTTCTATACACTAACACGACCGTAACCTTAACCGAGGAAGCGCAAATCAAGACTGCGAAAGCCTCAGCAGATTTTTCGAGAGACTGAAAAACGCTGGTCCTCAATACGTCAAGAAACAGTTAAAAGAACTTAAGCGTTAAACATACTGAAAAGTGGTGACTGTTTGGTGATGAAGTCCATCAATTAGAATGTAGCCCACAGCAGACAAAAATGGTGAAATGAAAAGTGAGAGAGAGAGAGAGAGGGGGGGAAAGACCCGTGCATCGTAAACGAGAATGTTGGCTGGTTCAGATTCCATTGGAATCTCAGGAAAAAGCACATTTCTTACTATTTCCCGAAAGGTAAAATGACGGTGCTTTTATAGGTTCATCAGTGGACAACTTTCAAACTTGTGCGTTCAGATCCCCCGCCAGCACAACAGTGTCCATGCTTCTTCTGTGGCGAAGGAGCTGAGTCAGTTGGCGGTAGAAGTCGTTCTTTACCGAATCATCGCTACAGTTTGTGGGCACGTAGACAGCGATGATGAATAGACACCTATTAGTCCCGCGCGACTTCGTAGCTTTGAACGAGCCAGCCAATCGGACCGCACACAACCGGCTACTGATAGGAATCCAATCAACCAGAGCAGCTTCAGCCTGTGGACGCAGGGCAATGCCAACACCAGCTTGGCCGGTGCTCGAAGCTGCATCGTCACCGGATAGGCGCAATGAGAAAATACTGCTTGCGTCACCTGAAGGGGATCGCAGAGTGAGCACAGAGCTCGAGTCTTGCAGGCGGGTCTCCGATAAGCAGCAGATATCGATCGAGAGGGTCTCTAATGTTCTGGCAAGTGCTGCCTGTTGACCGACCTGAAGCAACGTGCGAACAGTGAGGCATGCAAATCTGAAGGAGGATTGAGGGCTCCAAATAGAAGCCGATGTACTGGGCTTGACCGCTTATTGACAGGGCAGGAATGACGCACTGCGTTCACATGTGAGTTGGAACAAAAAGACAAGCGCCTATTGAAGCAAGGTGGAGGAGGGCCAAGAATTGGGGGGTTGAAAACAGGGGGGATAAAAGTGAGGCTGGAACGGGACGATAAGGGTGAAAAAGCGCAAGAAGGGGAATAAGAAGATGGGAAGGCTTGAGCAGTAGCATCCAAACCCCTATCCACCCTGCTCGATGCAGCAGATAGGGCACCGTTGATTATCCTCTGCGGTGGCCATAGCATCAGCAATTTGTTTGAGGTAAGCTTCATGGTATTGCGTGGGCAGGATACTGTCAGGTTGCCCAGGCCTAGACAGGAGAACGATTAGGGTTCTCAACCAAAGCCTTTGGTTCAAAAACCTTACCGCAAGGCAGGGGGTTTGGCGTTGGGCTACAAGGAGTCCGTTTTAAGGGATAAGGAGCCACCTCATTGCAACCTCCAACCTGGAGGATCAGGAGGCTGAGTTTCTCTGACCTCTAACCATTGACCAATCTGGTATGAGTGGCTCTGAAGGTGCAAAAATATACCACCCAGCATAGCTCAATGGATCACTGAGGCACACAAACCATCGCACCACGGTAACGTCCAGCCTCATTGCGATGTAGCCCAGAGTAGACAAGTATGGTGGAATGAAAAGTGAGAGAAGAGAGAGGGAAAAACCCGTGGACGGGGTCAACACACACACTTCAGTGCAGCCATATTCGGCTAGACCTATTATATCAGAAATGTGAGATGAGAATATTGCAGAATCCAGGTAGTAGTATTCCTGGGCGCAAATAGTTAAGCAAATAGTAGTAATCGAGTTGAGTAGATGTCACGAAAGGTGAGTCATGGAGAACACGGGCCGTGAGAAATTACTAGGAACTATGAAGCTAGTTGTATTCTAAACCAGTTGCAAAGAATTACACGGGAAAGCCTGATGGTGTCGACTCAGTGCTAAAATGACACGGGGACAAGGAAACATGTCGGATGGAGGACATAGTATTTCCTCCTGATAGTCTGGTGCCGACCCGTAGCCTTAAGGATCACAAGCCTGCCTTGTAATCCGAGGACGAGGGTTCCAGCCTGCGTATGGGACCGGGTGACCCTCACAATATCCTTGACCCACATGCGACCGGTGGTGGGTGCGCGATATGCTCTTCGCCTGATAGTCTTGTGATAAGAGAGAGGAGAAAAAGCGCGGTAAGGCACCGGGAGAAAAAACCTCCCTTGCCAAATACATCGATCTAAGTAAAACGCAGTTCACTTACGTTTTTCTACCAAGTTCGCCGAGAATCAAAAGATTTAAGTATATCTCTGTGGGCGATGAGTCCGGGTTCTGGAACGGTAAAGAAAATGGAATCCACTAAGCAACAAACGAAACACTTGACGAACCGATTAAAGTAAGTAACATTGTGGATCAAAGCACACAGAGAAACGTGTTAGTTTGTCGCTATTGCGCATCGTAATGCGCTGTGGGAACGAAGGTGACCAGGATAGCAAAGAGCAATATGAGATGAGAACACGATAGCACAAATAGTTAACCAAATTGCTGGAGGACACAAAGAAAGAAAGGGATGCTTTTGGGGTTGTAAATCGAGGACACTGCCTTAGAGACGAGTTTTGTAAACGGTGAGGTAGTAGAGAACGAAAGGTACATAAGACAGGCAACTATACAACCAAGCCAGTAAGCGTTTCCGATGACTAAAACAATTGCATCGTAAGAGAGGCCATAGTTTCGGTGTTACACAGAGGTGTTGAGACGAGTGTAGTGAATGAATGCTGAAACCACACATAGCCTCTGGTATGACAAATGACGAGTGATCACATTCAACTACAATGTGGTATGCGGCCACTCAAAAAATTTCGAGAGGGATCTCATATATGCAGTACCGTAGTATGACGCTGTGTGAAATAATTTGTGCTGAGCACAGACGGATATTGTAAACAAAAAAATGCATTCACAAAATGGGTTAAAGCGCCAAAGGCAATTCTTTAGACCGAAAGAAATCTGACCGAAATGCATTTCATTAGGACGGTCGCCAGGGACACAGAGATCGGTCACTTCAGTGAGTTCTGAAGTAAATCCAAGTCCGGCGAGCGAATGACTCACTTTGACAGCCGCAATCAAACGATCCACTGCAATACTGACACTACGAAGGGTGCCAAAGGAGGATTTCGCACCGGACACCGCGGGAAGTTCGGACAATAACTCAGTGATACATTGAGCTAAACTAGGTAGGGCGTCCCGAGAAAGTGGCGTGCGATTGCCATTATGTCGATGTGGTGAAGAACTCAAGAGGCCACCTCCATTCAATGGTTCCAGTAATCGGGATAAAAAGAACTGGGGGGAGGGGTCAGATGGAGACAATAAGAAGGGAAGTTTAGACTACTAAGAAGAGGAATAAGTGTAAAGTTGGTAGCGGATGGCTTAAAGGTGATAAGGCAGAAACAGCACGAACAATTGTTGTTATCAATTAGTGCCTATCAGCGAAATATAAAGTGAAACCGGATGGAAAAAATACCGGTCGTCACAGTTGGGGAGGTGATAGTTGTAAAGTATAACATAACAGTTCAGTCTGGTTCAGTTCATTAACTAAAATTCGTGCACCGAAATATGGTGGAGTGCTATGGTGATTTACACCGCCAAAACAACGATGGAACTATATAAAGCAGTTTGTTCTCTTCAGTAGTTTGAAATGCGTAATGAGAAGACGAATACTGGTGGACGCTAGCCTTTGGGAATATCACATCAGTACCGATGCGTTAGTGGTGAAATCTTTAGATAAGTGTCATATGGTACTATCAGGCCAAGCACGTTCAAGGTTGTGGTTAGTGGTATTGACATCAGGACCACGGCACTGCCGTTGTTTCTGACACAGAGCTGGCCTAATCCGGATTATCGCGACGGCTTCGGCAGATCGTAAGGGACGTGAGTTCGTATGACGCAACAAGATTCGAAACACTGATAAGGGATTAATCTGGTGACGGGTCGCCGAGATGTGCCTGTCTATGGATAGTCTTGGCGACTTACGCGAGCACGTATCGTCGGAGGGCGGTTGATTAACTTTGCGCTGAACCCAGTTTGGTACGTATTCTTTCACCGGAATCCAAAGCACTGCTAGTTCTGCCGATGTATCTGACTCCACTGTTACATACAAATTGCTAAACGCAACGTGATTTGGCATCGATAGGTTCATCTCCATTTACTGAAAGTAACAACAGCTTTGGGATTCTGTTGCGAATTTCCGCCGCCGCAGCACCGTACGTAAGCTGAATGGCTGAGACTAGGCCGTTAGTTGCCCTTTTTGGGACAGCGTTGCCTTGAACCTTAGCTCGATGTATTCTTTTTTATTTGGTGCCATCAACACCGTTTGTTTCCCGGGTTAACCTGGCTGTGCTTTCAATGAACCGCTTCGGGTAGGAATTCTCGATGAGCGTTTTGGTGATAAGCCCAACTTTCTCAGCAAGACAATCGTTCAGCACGAGTAAACTATGTTTTCATCAGCGCGAGCATCCGTGCCACCGGTGAGTACCTAGTAAATTTCATGTATTTGCCGGGCCATGTTGGCTTCCGGTCGCTTAATGAACCCATCATCCCTGTGGCTGATGAGAATGTCAAAGTATGACAGACGTCCATTCGATTCGAATTCACAGGTCACCTTCAAGTTGGCGTGAATACCATTAAGTTGGGCGACTAATCGTTCGATTGGCATCCTCGAAAATCCGATAACGAGGACGTCAACACATTGCTATATAACAGCTGAGAAATCTCTCCACTTGGTTTCTTTTCAAGCATCAGCATGAAAAATGCAGCTGGTACTGGGCCTGACAGACTACCTATAGCCACTCCATCGATCTGCAATTTGAAGTATACTGGAATCGGAAAGCGGTATTCTCTGCACATGTAATAGGGACTGTTAGTGTCAGTAATAATACTCAAAGAAGTTCGTAGTGAACTCTGTTGCCAGGGTAAAACGCCGACCGCGGAGTAGAGCGCGTCTGGTTGCGTGGGTTGTATCATTGCATCACTGAGATGTCAGAGAGAGAAGGAACTATCTTCCTGAAGCATGTAGAAGCTAAAGTAGTAATAACCGCCTGCAAGGAATTGAAAGAAGTTAGCGGGAATTATGAGTGCGGCCTATATATGGTGACGTATGGGGTGTGCCACATGCTGAGGTTGATGTTGCACACATGATGCTTCTTCACCGCAGTTGGGCTAAAGTAAATTAAACTTAAACCAGATCCTTTTAAGCTGGATAAAAGTTGTTCAAATTTATTTGATTTGTTTAGTTGTTTTGTGCTGCATATTCTGGGTCATTTCTGCATGTTTGCTTTCGCTCAAATTAAATGTTGGTTGTTTGATATCCTCGGTGTGGCTGCGCTTGATGTGCATGTTGACAAGTTGCCTACGAGTTTAAGACCCACCACCTCGATTACTGGCTCCAGGAGACTGTGAATCGTTGCTAGAGTTGACGGGGTGCACGGTCCTTGTGGCCGCGCTACGCCCAAATAGTGGTTCCATCCAGTGTGGAGTGGACTACGGCCCAGCCACCGCCTTGTGCACGTCTGGTAAGCATGATTCCGCATTTAGATAGATAGGAATGCTGCTGTTGTGCATGTTGAAGGAGTGTGGGCCGGCTCCGTCGAGGAAACGTGGCCCCCATCCATATGCCCCCCGGTCTTATTCCCTCGGGTTTACACTGGACATGGAGTATGTGGATGGAGCTGTGGGTGGTGCAGCGCAAGCCATCCATTGTCCTTTTGTAAGCGCAGGCGTCCTGTGGCCGTCCCCGTGGAGGCGACAATGACAGGTAAATCCAGAAACGGATGCCGTCAATCATGGGATGTGCGACGTAACAGAATAAAAGGAGGCTATGAAAAAACCCATGGAGTTAAGGATTCGTGTACTCAACTACATGTTGTAGAACACATGTTTGATTTACCGAGATAAGTGCCTGTTCCGACTCATGATGACTTGAGCGGCGACCGATAGCGCGCATCAAACGCAACATCGCTTCCAAAGCCTGACCGCGAAGCAGAGGTGAATGCGTCAAATCAATCAGATGCTGATTAAATGCGTCCGCAGACACGAACTTTGATATGCGGACACCAAGTTCGGCATTATCATCTTCTCCCAGTTCCAGTAGAAGAGAAACTAGGTGGATAGCCAACTGCAATGCAGAACAGAAACGAAGGTCAAGTGTAGTGTGGGGAGGAAGTAGACAGAGAGATGTGACTTCATGACGAAATCGATTAGAAAACATACCTGAGCTCCCTGGAGATCCTGTTCAGAGACAAGGAACCTTGGCAGCAAATCCAACACAGTCTCTAAGCATTTAGGCCCAATTAAACGAGGGTATTTGAACCATACGGTGTAGAGACAGCGTAGTGCGGCCAGTCTAAGGATTCTATCACTTTGGGAGAGGAAGGTGGCCAAATCGTCAGACGCTCTGGGCTGAAACACGAACGAAATGAAGGCATGGAAACCGATTCGTCAGATTTTAAAGAAAATAGCGGATGTGGTCGCTGGATAGATGTAGTGAAATTGCGACCGGTAAAGTATGAACGATTGCACGGTAAACTGTTCCCATGAGTAATAGCAACACAAGATTGCAAAATCAACAATAGTGGGGATAATGGGGAAGAAGAATGGTTACTCATCCATTGTGCGCGTTAGCTAGAGGTGGGGACACTTTAGCCAGCAAAAGTTGAGTAGAGGAGAGAGAAACGTCTCGATCACAAAGAAACGATGGAAGGTGTATGTTTGAGTGTAGGAAGAACATGCACTTTGTGACTGCATTCAATGCAGTAAGTAAAACATAACTTTGCACTCCGACTTCAATCCTCCCGCTAGTTTGATGCGATTTACCGGCCAACCTGGAAATGCGTCCTACCATGTGTATCACCAGCAGTCAATAGACGCGGGGTATGTAGCCGGCCGTTTGGATTTCACAGGTGCCGCGAGAACGTAAGGCCCAATAGACTGGCAGCGATACATAGCAAAGACATTTGGGGACCGTCAAGGTAGAACACACACACACACACATTCATCGTATAGGCCGGAAGAGTTAATGCGCGTAACACAACGGAGCAGGCGCATGTGATTCAAAGTTGGATGCCAGTGTTGGGAGGAGCAACACGGGAACACCTCCAGGAACACACGACTGTTACCAGCTCCATTGCTGCTAAGATATAGCATCGTGTTGAGGTTCGAAATCTACGCCGTGAAGGTCATACAAACGAAGCAACAGGGCCCAAGTGGTGGAATGTACTTCGCAAGGTGTTACAAAGAAGGGCGAAGATGAGGACGAATTCGTGAGACAGACTGATAGATGCTCCCCATACAGGTCGCTTAAGAAAAAGCGGCAATAGTGGACGCGTTTGATCGTTGATACACCGAAATTGCTTTATAGCTTAATATCAGATGTTTATATACTTTTCCTGCTTGTTCAATGTGGTCGTTATGGTCCAAAGCAATTCAAAATTCAGATTGTATTCGTGAACCCCCAGTCACACCATAGCGAACGAGGTCAGACATAGAAGAGGATTTACGGCATAAACCTGAGTGGACTTAATGACAGAATGAGACAGTATAAAGAACGGTACATTTTGAAGAATGACAGTTTCATGCAAACAAGACACTGTGGGCAAGCACAAAGCGAGAGCAAAGTTCAGAAGATCCTATGGAAGCATTGAGGGCTTGCAATGTAATCTTGTTTAAGATGCGGTGCGATCGAGTAATAACTGGATCCGAGATAGGAGAGTGTTGTTAGAGGTGTGCTTCCGAGAAACAACACTAAAATAACAGCATCAGTAGTACACAAGAATCCTGTGGTGAGGCCTCTCTGCTATACAACCATTATGATCTTGCTTATAAAGAGCTAGTATGCAGAGAGCGAAGGGGGACCTGACGTTAGATTTAAATGTCCAAGGTCAAAGCATACACATCTTGGAAAAAAACACGGTGTCAAACATCCGGCAATCGCATGGGGGATAAAATCGGTGAAAGAATGTCTTCGTGTCTTTCACTACAACGCGACGTAAGCAATCCAAACACACAGTTAGCTCAGTAGTAAGCAATCTAAGTGTGCAATTTGTTTGAGAGGCGATCACAGACGCGCCAGCTGCTCCGTTGTGAGCCAAGTTCTGAAAAAACTTGAACTAAGAGTAGAGTTGATCGCGTCGATCTCAGAATGGAAGGTGCGATGGACCAGCTACAGTCAGTTCAATTAACTCCGACCTGATTTCTGAAAGACAGATCAGTGAGTGTTCCGTTAGACCATACATAAATCTGGATCAAATTAACATAACAAGGCTAACCTCCGTAAAATGTGGGCATCACAGACGTAATTTAGATAACACCGAACCGAAATAACTCAACCCACGCTGGCGTCATCAGGCAATGGGAATGCGATGTAGACAACGATGAGCAGACTTGGAGTCGCTTCGGGTCCTCAGACCGAATGGGTCGTCTCATACAAGTGGGGAAGAATAAGCCTCATCGCGATCTTGTAAATACAAACCACGATGTATCCGATATCTTTGGATCTATCCCCTCCCAATTCAGTCATGATTAGTACCTTTCAAACAACGCCCTTGTGCGCATATAGGAAACACCAGCAACTGTAACGCTTGTCCAGCTATCCAATCAGCAATTTATGACGGACAGAAAATGCCCGCACGCCTGCGCTTACGTTTGGAGGGTCACACAATCGCGTGTGAAACCATGGATTTTGCTGGTGTTCCCTATATGTGCACAAGTGGGTTGTTGAAAGGTAGTAGTCATAGGTGAATTGGGGAGGGGGATAGATTCAAACAAATCAGCCACACCACAGAGAGTGGAACTCTATTACGGTACGGCAAACACAAGAAGATTGGCTTTTGCAATGCGTGAGCGAAGTGCAGAAGGCGCACGCATGTCACTTCCTAACACAGCTATGTGATAGGAGGTGGGACTGTAGGTACAACGCATAGGCCTAAATGGACAGGCCAGTTGGTCGAAAGTAAGAAAACGCACTCACCAAAAAGACTTCCAAGTTGAGGGGGTGATTAGAACTGGAAAGAACAAAAATTCGTGAGTAAATCGTAGTGTAACAAAAGACAGGCAAACAACACTAAACGACGTGCCAGATATAAAAAAGAAAACAAACAAGTAGCAATCACATAGTCAAAGCAAAAGCTAGAGCGAATGCAAAGTGGGAGATCCGATAGATATTAGAGCCCAGCTCACTGCCAAGAAAAGAGTTGTCGATCATCAGAAAACCTTTTAGTTGGAAAATAGTGTGAACCCCGAAGTTCTAGGAGCCGTCACAGGATATGTGAGCCGGAAAGCAAGAGGATGGTAATTTAATGACAAGAGAACAGAAGGAAGGAGTAAACAGATGGCACATCAAAGACTAGGCACAGAAACAAGCGCAGCCACGTGTACAGACAGAAAGAAAATCAGTGGAAATGAGTCGTCTAACTTGGAATAAAATGTCATAAAAAACGAAGGTAGAACTAAGGTCTGAACGACCGCGTTGCGATAATCGCGAGACAAACGCACACAAGTACGAAAAAAGTAAACGTGAAGCCATCGTACGAGCATTAGAGATAGATGAGCTGTTCGCCAGCCCAGTGCCTTGCATAAGAAAGTTAACACGCACTAAAGTCGCTCTTAAGTATTGAGTAACTCACACATTATCATTTGATTTCAATGTACAAGAGCTGAATTTCACTAATGATTTAAATCCAGTTGCACAATTTAGCTTCGAAGTTGCGACAACCAGTCAGTTGTGTTATTAATGCCAAATGATTATGCATAACACTTGAACACTAACAAATAATTGCAAATAATTGAAACATGTAGATAGAACAAATAAAGAGATTGAGGAGCAGGGAACGTCGTAACAGGCTTAACACTGGCTATGGTTCTTGGCCATATCTGGTAACTTTTTCAACTAAGAAAGCTTATGGTCTTCGAGCCCCTAACTCGAAGAGCACCCCGTTGTTTTATGAGAAGCATTGCCAAACACTAGATTCCTGCACGGTCTACCTAGCTTCTTGAAACCCGTCTCCCCTTGGCCTTGATGACAATTCGACGCGCTGATTTATCAATGCTGCAGTTAAACAGCCCCTCAGATAAGATCACGAGGCCTGTACAATGTAATGTCTTCAAGACGGAACAAGCAATCACATCTGGAAGTTGCTGTCGATTTTTCTTTTTGATTCGGTTGCGTGGCGGCGAAAAAGACGAGTGTAAACAAAGCATCGTGTGAAACCAGTGGTTGTCTACGCTGACTTGTACACCAGGTTGTGTGGCTCGAATGGCAGATTACTTGGTCATTTGCACAACTGAGCCCCACCATCCATCCGGAAACCACAGTACCCTCTGGTGTGTAGATGAGAAGGAGGTGAAGTGGAAGGACTACCCTTTATATTACTCATGAGTAGGGTGATCATCAGCATCAGCATCATTATACACGGTATCTGAAGGTGGAAAACACCTCAGCTATTGTGCCGCAATACAAAAGACAAGAAAAGGAAAACAAACAGTGGCATGCCGACTGAGTCCCCCAGTAAGGGATGGACATCGTTCCGGAGAGCTAACAGCTGGCTATCGTGCCGTAAAAAGAGAGTTATATTATGCCTAACGAGTGAGATCGTGATTGGAGGGGGATGCTAAACAGGAGGGGGATGGACAAAGGAACTCACAACACAAACGTCATTGGGGCCGGCTCCAAGCCATATCAGTAAGTGTGTCCAAGCAAACGGGTTCACCGTCTTTAGGACCCCAGCCAAGCAGCCGGGATGCACAAACCGACGCCAACTTCGAAGTGAGGGTTTTCATTTCTCTCGACCAAGTCATCACTTAGCCTCCCCTCCTCCTCTTCCAACCGCACCCACAACGCGCAAACAATGCACGTCGCGGGAGTCGGTGTGCTGGCATGCGCAACACGTGGCCCAGCCATCGGAGCCTGGTGTGGGATATAATGGGGCTGAGCGGTTCACCCGCTCCTCCTGCACCAAATACGCGACGTCGAACACGCTCATTGCTCACGCGGTGCTCCCACCGGACATGAGCTAAGCTGGGAAGGCAGGGATGATCGAATGTGACGAGCCTCTTCATGTCTGTCGACCTGATGGGCCAGGTTTCACAGCCATATAGGAGAGTTGAACGGACGGCTGCGTTGTAAACTCTGCCCTTGAGGGCGAGAGTAATGTCGCGTCTGCGCCACTGGTAGCGGAGATTGGCAAAAGCACCTCGAGCTTTTGCTATACGGTTCGTAACCTCATCTTCAATCCCACGGGCGCTAATATAGCTGCCCAGGTACTTGAATTCCTGAACGACTTCTAGAAGATCACCACCAAGCGTTAGCGCAGGGTTGGGTCTCTGCCAATCTTGGAGAAGTACTTTGCATTTCGATGGAGCAAAGCATAGCCCAAAATGATTGACAGCCAGTGCTAATCGGTCCAGTGATGCTTAACAAGTTCGGAAGCTGTCACAGATTAGAACAATATCGTCCGCATACTCCAAGTCAAGAAGTCGCTCACCAGGAAGTAGCTCCACACCTTCTAGGTCGTGTCCAGCAAACGTTGTTTCCATGACTTCATCAATAGCGAAGTTGAAGAGGAAAGGTGACAGCGGTCAACCTTGTCTCACACCGCAGGTGATACTGAAGGGTAGCGACAGTTTGCCATAAACCCTCACTCTGTCCGAACAATGCGCGTACAGTGCTTTGATAATGTTTACATATTTATCAGGTACACCTTTCCTCAGCAGACAGTCCCAGAGGGCACATCGATCGACTGAGTCGAATGCACCTTTTATGTCAAGAAACACGACAACGGTGGGTTGCCAATAAACATGGCGGTGCTCCAACACTTGACGCAAGGTGAAGATGTGGTCGATGCAACCTCGACCTCGACGAAATCCGGCTTGCTCTTCACGAATCTAGCTTGCACGAGTACCAGTCACTCTGTGGAGAATGACAGAGGCAAGCAATTTAGACGCAATGGAAATCTGACTGATCCCTCTATAATTGCTGCATTCCAAACGGGAGTTTCCCTTGAAAATTGGGAAAATGACGGAGCGGTTCCAGTCTGTCGGAACAGTCTCCTGCTCCCAAAGTTTCATTAGCAACTCGTGTAAATCATTTATCAGAGCAGGTCCCCCGAATTTGAAGAGGGCTGGGGGAATTCTGTCTGCCCCCGCGGCCTTATGCAAGTTCAACAGCCTGATCTCATATTCGACTTGTGCGCGTGACGGCGGATCCAAGGTGATGGCCCAGGGAGAAGTGCGCTCAATGCCCGAAAAAGAAACCGATAACTCAGGTTGATTAAATTGACTTACAGTGTTCAGCCCAACGCTCTAAGCGTTTTGACAGGCTGTGGATCGACTGCCCACTGTCGTCACGTATTGAATGGTACAGGTAGAAATCCGTCACATTTAGACCCAATCAAATAGTCATCACACGCCCGGAAAAGCACTGTACAGCCGTTTCATCCTTTCGTGAATCGTCAGCAGTGCGCATTCTATAGTACCCATGTCATGTATTGGACACAGAGGTCGCGTTTGATTCAGGTAACAGATTTATTTGCGGAATGCTACATTAAGAAAGCAGTGTGTTTAGGAAGAATGTCCACCATTTTCACTTCATTCGTTTCTAGACCCCAGGTAGCGAGCACGGGTCAGTGTGGATTTGTCACCCCCACTTCAGGGTCCTCAACATCACCCATCGCATTCAACTTAACTATGCAGGCATCCAACGACTAGACGTCTGATCCACAAGGCAGAGTGAGAAATGCAGGGAATTTTACTCAGTGTTTAGCTCTAGACAGTGGGAAACAGCTTCAGCTATGGACAAGGCAGTTCCGTGGAGACTTACGATACAATGCAAGAAGAAGATCACCCAAGGGAATTGGGAATTACTGAAAACCTCCCACAGACCATAGTAGTGAGGTTGCTTGATATACGTGTGGACAAAGTGCCCGGGAAAAGACAATGAGAGAGTGGTCGACACATAACATACACAGTTATAATGTGAACTGCCCTGACGGCAGACAACCGAGTCAACTCGTTGTTTAGTCTTCGGTGAATGACATCCAGACTCTTGTTCAGGTCGTCCCCGATAAGATCTCCAAGTTGGTTGATGAACACAGCACTGTGTGAGAGAAAAAATATACACAAAATGATAAGCTGCAAACCGCGTTTGAAAGCACGATAGATCTTGAGGTTCACCACCGATAAGAAAGAGATAAAGTGTGCGGAAAATCACAAGTGAGAAATTGAAACACTTGAAGTACATTACATATAAGTAAGCGCCAATTGGCCGATGCTAAAATGGTGTGAATGAATAAAGTTGATCCGTATTGATGAGTAGGAAGCAAGCCTGGATTGATAAAAAGCACAAAAAGGTCGAGATTTATTTACGTAAGCTTATCGATGTGGTACGTGTTTCGTATACCGAAGGTGACGTGCGCTAGTGATGTATCGTATTTGTTTTAACCGAAAAGTTTCAATGCGCATGTCAAAGAATGAGAGTGTGAACTGAGCTTTTTAAAACGATAGATAGTAATAAGACAAGACGGTCGAATGTGTTCCTAAGAAGAACGATAGATGTTGCCGAGATCGAAACGCCTCCGTGCGTTAGTGGCACGACGCATGTCATTTGAACGGCCCAGCATTTGTCCAAGCGCGTAATTAATAACCGCTAACGCTGATTGCGTTAAAGTGGCACAGGGACAAGTAGTAGTTCTGATTTGGCCCATATAGTCGACATCCACCATCAAGTGCATTTGAACCGAATTGTTTGAGCAATGTACAAAAGGCGCAGTGAAAACTTACGAACGGTGAGGTGCCTGATGAATGATTTGGTACGATAGTTGCCATAATCACCATAAAAATACAAGGAACTCTATGGAAATTATAGGTCCTTCAACACACTGATCGATATCTGGACGGAGCAGCGGCACACTGGGGTGGGTGAACGCCTAACCGACTTTAGGGGTGTGCAAATGGAGCATCCGAATACAGCCTCATAGGATGACTCGTGGGTTAGCCATGACCCTTAGTTGAATCCGCTGTCGTATACGTGCTGGTAGACAGGCACTGTTTGGCCGCCGCAGTTCTTAGTTCCCTGAACATGGCCTTGAAAGCGTTGGATCCAGGCAACCACTGACGCCGAATTAGTAAATCGACTAAGTTAAAAGCTACGGGAAGTGGAAGGTGATAAAATAACTCAGGTGTTTGGCCTTGGTTAACGCGAAATCGAATTCCCATTCGTACGAGCGTTCGATTAGCTCTGCAGTGCAACCGTCTGTGGATACCTGGCAACGAAACATTGGTACGGAGTATTGGTTATTATGTGTTAGTAAATCGGTTACGCTAACGGGCATGCGGAGTGCAAGGTAAAAATGGCGTCCCTCCAGTTTGCAGACCAATTAAATGCCAAGGCATAGAACCAAACGAAAAAAGTGAAACATCCGCCGTCGGGAAGCTGCGTGCTGAGCGGTTTCCAAGTTCGAACAGATCGCACAGAACAATCGGGACTGATGATTCAGTCATCAGTAATTAACATAGATCCACGCCTAGTGCCGTGGTGAGTTCATAGAACTGTGGCGAAGCACAGACACAGATGAAACACGTGGTCGTAAAGCATCGAGGCAGTTACTCCGGGTGAGCTAGCAAAATCACTTCAAGGTGTGGATAAGCAAGTGGTCCTCTGAGAAGACTTGAACATGTCACAAACACAGAGCACGTAAGCTAATCGAGGTAGGTTAGAGGCAGATCGTGATACAGTGCCAAAACGCCATATAGTGTGCGAAAAGTGATTTAGGCACCTGCAAAGAGTCTTGGCACGCTCACTGGCCGCATGATGTGGGGTATCACAAGGGTCAACCTAGAGTTTGGTGCCAGGGCGCTTAATGCGAGCAAGAAAAAAACACAATGGTTGGAATACTCCCGCAATTACAAGAGAGGAACTGAGACACTGACGATATCTAACGGAAAAGTCCCGGCGTGTCTGCAGGTTTCAGACATAGTTAAAGCAAACGAATTTGAGCACTTCACCGGAGACGAACTGAGCGAGAGTTGCGCGCAAGGTGAGAGATCTGGTCACAATGACGTTAATATAAGGAATAACTTGATCGTAAACGTCGAAATTAATGATCACCAGTTGGACGACAGCAGTATCAGCTAGCCATCTCATATACCACACTGACAAGAGTGACGACTAGTGTAGTTGTTTTGCGTTAAATTGTTGCATTCGAAATCGATGAAAACGGATTGGGAATTTTAGCCGCATGCAGAGTGAAACACGAATATGGACCAACTGGCATCAAGAACCGTCGGTACTGGATGGAGGACGAAGGTAATGGTTCAAACGGAGTATTCGCACACGAAAGCGATAACGTGAGACGGAAGATGTAACCCATGACTGGACGGTGAGCCGAAAGAATAATACTACTCTTTAGTAAGGACACGTTTACTGCATCACATCAAAAGTGAAAAGAGTTATACGTCATGGAATTTAGAGAGCAATTGATCTAAGTACGTAGGGTATGTTCGACAGAATACTTGGCCTTTCGAAACATCCAGTCAATGCCTCTGCTCCGATCGCTAGAGCAGCGGAAGGGAAAGATCAAGGTAAACAAGTAAAATGCTGTTAAATAATGAGGACCAAATTCACATCGCAGTAGACTAGTTTGGGGCATCGTGGTCAGACTACTCCAAGGAGAGAACAGAAAAAATAAAGATATTTTAACTGCAAACTAAGACCTCATAACAATTAAGAAAAGAGGAGCTCAAACGAACTGATGTAGGAAACAGCTGGCACAAAAAGCATAGTTAACTTAAATGCAATAGGTTGCTGGCATCGATATGATGATGATGCTGAATGCGCGTAACTATACAGAGAGGACCGAAGGACCACTCGTTGACAATGCGGTCAGGGTTGAGTACCCCGGAGTTTTCCCGGTGACTTCAGCTAAGCATGAAAAAAACTCGCAAGTGAGTGCTGAGGAGCGCAGTCCATGGAAATCGCATTTCAAAAGTCCCGCTGAAATGTTGGCCAGGTGGATGATCCGTCAGGTATGAATCAAGCACAGGCTACACGGAGGTAAGTGCCGAGAACACTGGTGACGGCTGTAGTGTGTAGTCAATGAGGCATACGACATGCGACCACTAACATTTCAAGGTGAAGATGGTTCACATCGATTTTTGATCGTGATAAAGGACCAGAAAAAGGCGTATGGCCTTGCATCATCAGAGGAATGAGAAATGCTTGTATGGGAGTGTAGGGGATATGATGGTGACTGAGTAGCCAGGAGTGAGGGGGGGGGGGTAAGAAGAGTAGAAACATAGGAGGCATTCGACTCAAGTCAGTTCAAGTGCCCTAAAGATGAGCGAAAGGGACTTGAAAGTTGAGCTTGGTGAACTTTAGGAAAGAACTTACGCCGAAGTAATCGTCTTCTCCTTCAATTCCAAATCTCGATCCACCGAATCCAACAGAGCCAATACAGTAGTGAAAAGAGGCTTGGCCCACTGCTCTTGACCTGTAATAAGGTGAAAGGGATATGTCATTGATGCAATGCAATATAAGATAAAAACGTTCGAGTAGCAAGGCATTCAAAGTGAACATGACAAGGAATATGTGAAGGAGTGAGAGGGAAAAAATAGAGCCAACACAAAGAGGTGGATCAAGTATAACAGGAAGTGTAAATGTGCATACATTGTAGAAAATAAATAGATCGCACCGAATACAGGAAAAAACTGAACAGAAGGCGTGGACTAATAGATAGGTATTTGGTCAAGCAGTAAAGTAAAGCATAGTTAAGATAAACAGTGACACTTCAGCCCACAGCATAGAACAGGACTTGGGACACAGATGAGAAGAGAGAACGATGCCAGACAATCCATAGGCAGGTGTGGAATTGATGAGCCATCGGGAAAATCGGTAGGGAATCAGAAGCATACAGTGACTGGTGCCTCGATGCCACAAGTGGTTGCGAGCGAGTTGGGACGTAGCGGAAAGACTCGAGCACGAAAAAAATACAGACTGAGACTGTATTTAAGAGCAAGTAGAAAGGTTTCTGTACAACTCTATCGAATTACGAAAAATCAAAATTTACTTGTGAATTATCAGCAGTTGTGTCTGGTCCGTTAATCGTTCATCCTTGTTCGGTTAGAAATTTGTACTAGTGTCATTATTTCCGGACATACAATGTCTTCTTTTGGCACTGTATGTGCATCGTTTCACAAAAGCACAGGTTTCCAAAATAATCGTCGATACGGGTTTTAAAACACTCACAGAATCGGCCACTATTAATCCTTCAGGTAGTGTATTCCATAAGTTTACGGTTCTTCGTTCGATACAAAGCTGATGTGATACTTTGTCCATGCTGGGGACCCTGAGTTTGTAACGGTGTCCTCGGGTGTTGCAGGATTCCCGCAGGTGAAATATTGACCGCAGTATGGGGAAGTGATTTAAGTGTAGCACTCGATGGGTCATAATAAGGTCAATTCTTACTCGGCGATAGGATAGTGTGTAGAGTCCGATTCTTCCACAACGTTTTTCATACGGAAGCTTTTGTAGACTAGGTATCATTCTAGTTGCGATATACTGTATTTTTGCCAGCTTTTCAGTATCCCATTGGGTTATTGGATGATAAGCTGGGGCACCGTATTCAAGGATTGGTCTAATGAGCGAGGTGAATAGACGAGGGGCGGTTTCTTCGGACCATGTGGAGAAACTGCGCCTTAATGCCCAGAGCATACGAAGTGTCACACGGTACAATTTTTCTGTATATTCCAGTGATCTCATATTATGTCGTGAGAGAACTCCTAAGTCTCTGACAGATGTGTTGGGATGGAGCAACTGGCCGTCCAAGGTGTCTGATCGAGTGGCTGGACGTCTGGTGATACTGATGAACTCCGACTTGCTTGCGTTAACAGGGAGTTGCATTTCAGTGGACCACGTTGACAGTCGCTCTAAGTCATGCTGGAGGCGAGCGCAGTCGTCCTGGTTCTCAATGATCCTCCAGGTTTTCAAATCATCTGCAAACAGGGCACATGGTGACTGGAGCTGCTGCGGAAAATCATTGATATGAATAAGAAATAATACTGGCCCAAGTACAGTTCCTTGAGGCACACCACTAGTCGATGGGAACCAGTGTGTCAGGTAGTCATTGACCTGTACTCTAAACTTTCGTCCCACAACAAACTCGTGTAACCACTGAAGTAACGTGCCACCGATTCCGTATGTCCTCAGTTTACCAAGGAGTACCTCGTGGTTCACTTTGTCAAACGCCTTACTAAAGTCGATGTACACCACGTCAACATCCTTCCGTTCGTTGAGAGCTCGTACCCACTGGTGGTTTGCGTACATCAAGTTGGTGGTGCAGGATCGCCCTTTCGTAAAGCTGTGTTGCGCTGGCTTCAGTACGTCCATCGATTCGAAGAACGATAGCAGACACTTTTTCACAACCTTCTCGAGCACTTTGGATAATACCGAAGTCAAACAGATCGGTCTATAGTTCTCTATTTTACTCGGATCACCACCCTTGGGAAGCGGTCTCACTATCGAGCATTTCCAGTAGTTCGGGACAGATCCTTCAGAGAGCGATTTATTGAAAAGATCTATCACGGCTGGTGAGATGATAATCGATAGGGACTTGAGTATTAGTGGGTGAAGTCCGTCTGGTCCGGGGGGCTTTGCACCATCGAGGTTGACGAGTAGCTGGTACACTCCGACTGCATCACATTGTAGACTGTCGAGCAAGACTGGCGCAACCTGTGCCGGTACTGAAACCGCCGTCGGTTTACTGGAAAATACAGTGAGGAAGTGCGTAGCCAAGGCGTCCGCGCGCTCCGCGCTTAAAATGAGCGTCTTTCTGTCTAAACTCTCTAAGACCGGTAGGTCACCCCCAGATTTCAGTTGGCGTTTCAAGTAGGCAAATATTCTTTTGGGTGCAGTTGTGGCCGAGGATGCCAGCTCCTCTTCGAACTGCCGGCGTTTCTTGATTTTTGCGGTGTTACATAAGTTACGTTGTTTCTTGTACCCCGTGTAGTCTTCATCACAACCCGAGCTGATGTATCTATCCCAAAGTTTGCGACGTCGTCGCGCTAACTGTCTATATTCCGTATCAAACCAATGCGGTTTGACAGGTCCGATTTTTGAATACTTAAGGGGAACGAACCGAGTAAAGAGCGAGTGAAGCTTCCCCTTCATTAATGACCAACAAGTCTCAAGTGAGGCATCTTGTGGTAGTGTCCAATCAGTGTGACTTGCAGCTTGGACGAGCTTCTTGAAATCCGTCTTCCAATAGTTGAATGTCGGCTTCTGTTGATTGTAAAATGGTAACGACAGTTCTAAGCTTACCACAATGGAGCAGTGGTCACTGTTCGCAAGAGGCTCGATGATTCTGATCTCGTTCAGCTTCTGCTCGCAGCTCGTAAACATTATGTCCAGGCAAGATGCCGAGTGCGGAGTTATGCGCGTTGCGTTGCCCCGATTTCAATAGTCATTTTAGCGAATTGTGCCTCAACGTTGCCATGACCGGGAAGAAGTCGAACGTCTGGCCAAAATATCTTAGGTAAATTTAGATCCCCCATCAGTAAGAACTGAGAGCGGCTCATGTGCTTCTGAACATGTGGTAGCCAATCGCGACGGCGGTTTAATGGGCTCCGGTAGATAACCCCACTATTAGTTCTGCGCGTCTGAGGCGGATTGTGCACCACAATTGCTCGCATAAACTATCCTCGCTCCGATAGGTGCTGGTGAGTTTGCCAGATAGTGACGATTTTATGTATAACAGAACACCACCATGAGCCTTTGATTTTCAGTCGCATCGGAAACAAGAGTATCCTGACAACACGACTTCTTGGGGTATGACATCGGAGTTCAGCCAAGTCTCTGCAAGTCCTAAAACATCAGAACAACAACATCCCAGATCTCCATAGGGTCTCAGAGCTTTCACCAACCAGAACCCAAACGCGTATCGTCAGACAAATTGGTAGAAAACTTAGTAAGTAGTGGGAATAGAAAACGGTGACACCAACGCCAGAGCGCAGGGAGTTACGAGTTAAAAAAGGCCAATAAATAACATAGCGTGTTCTCTGGAAACATGATTAGCAGAGTGAACGCCTTCTTTCAAGGTTGGCAGGGACCAGTTTCTGAACTTATAATATTAATAATAATAATAATAGTAATAATAGGTATATTTATCTTGATGTGAGAAACTGTGTCTATAGCGGCACAGATCAATTTGTACAGAAGAATCCATGTTCTTGCATGGGTGACATGCACAAGTGCAGTATTGGGATATGCGTTTCATGTATTAACATTCTGGTGGATGGATGAGGCCAAAGGCTGGTTATAAAAACATTGGTGTTTATGTATTTTTGGGGCCCTCTTGGAATAGCTCATCGAGGGATTTTTCCCATGTGAATATGGAGCTTAGGATAATTAGATCAAGGTAATTGGCGAGTCTGCTACTAAATGTTGTCACATGACCTGAGTGTTATTGGTAGTTCATTTCACAGATAGCTGTATCTGACCAGGAAGAAATTAGAGCGGACGTTCGTTCTAGCCATCGGTATATTCAGTGTAAAATCTTTGTTGCGAAACGTTCGAGTTAAGCAATGTTGTAATTAGAATGTAGGCAGATTGGAATAGGCCGTTTTGTGTAACATGTTGAGAAGCAGCAACAAGTTGGGCTTTAATCGTCCAATCCAAAGTGGTTCGAGATGAAGTTCATTGCAACGTTCGCGATAACTCATAGCAGTGTTTACCAATCAGGTGTTTAGTAAATGACCTCTGCAGGTTCTCCACAGTAATTCTGTCACCCTATCTAATATTTCCGTAAAATGTACTACAGTATTCGAGGATGGGGTGAGTGAGTAGCTTGAAAAGTTCAACTCTAGCATGAGTTGTGTGTATTTTGTTTGATATATTGTACATAGACTGTCTGGCACGTGCTACTTGGTATTGGGCCTGTTCGGAGCAATTGAAGGTAGACGAGTACCTAATCACAACATCTCGCGTGGACAACTGTGTAGGGACGCGTTCCTTGTTTAGGGTGATAGATCCTTCGGGGATGCAACAGTCGTAAGACATGATGCTTGGTTTCTTAGCCGAGAGGTTCATCACCCATGTGCAGCACCATGACTCAAGGGAATGCAAATCATCTTGAATGAGCAGTAATGTCCCGTGAAGTTCGTCAAGCCGAAGCCTACAGACGACTTTGATATCGTCAGCAGATAAATATGATGTACCATGTTTTACAGATGTGGTGATGTCATTGATGTAGAGCAAAATGTGTAAGGGGCCGAGCACGCTCCCTTGAATGCCTCCACTGGTGATTGAGCGTGCAGAAGAGCGATAGTCGTCTAAAGTGCCTACCTGATGAAGATCACTTAGGTATGAAGATAGCCAACGTAGTAATGGGTCCCGGATCCCAAACTTCTCCAACTTTTGTAACAGTCGCTTGTGCGGTACTCGGTCGAATGCCTGGTGTGTGTCAAGAAACAAGATTACTACTGCATAGCCGAAATCGATTGATTCTGAAATGTGATTAAGATAATGCAGTTGACAGGTGGTGCACGATCGCTTATTGAGAAAACCAGGTTACGAACTACTGATCAAGTCAACAGCATCAACAATCTTCATCATCTCCATTCTGACCAGCTTTCCAAATAGCCGAGCGATTATCGGGGTGTGGTAGATTTGTCGGTAGTTATCAATCGTTGGTTTGGGACCTCCTTTTTGCCGAGGCATAATACATGACGTTTCCCATTGGTGTGGAAAGTGGCCAGATTCCAGCGATAGTGTGAACATCCACATCAGTAGCAATGATATATCAGGTCCTCCTAGTTTAATGGTGGTTGGTGAAATACCATCGGATCCCAGCTTGAAAGATGGCCTGATTGATTTGCTAACTTGATGGATACCGTTGAACTAGATATTGACTCTGCTTAAGAGGTTTGTTTCTGTGATTTCTGTGCACACATGCACCAGGTCAGCTTCGTGACTCATGGCAGTGGCGAAAAACTCGCTGGATGCTTCACAGATTTCAGCTGGGTCATGGAGTAAGTGACCCACACCAACAACAATTTCGGTAATTAGAGGAGAGTGGTCACTGGTTCTACGATGAAGTATCTTGACAAGCTCCCCAGCTTTGCAGCTTGTCCGGAGGGTTGTATGTTCTTCATTTTTTCGTTGTGTTAAATGCGCGTTTTTGACTCTAGTGATAAATTTATGCATTTGTAAGCCAAGTAAAAAGTCATGGGCCCTTCTGTATCTTGCAGCTAAGTTTTTGGTTTGCATGCTGATTAAGGGGTGGACAGAATCTTTGGAGACATGTGGGGTATAAATACATTGTGGAGCAAGGAGGGCTATAGCGTGATGGATTTGTTTACAGAACTGCTCCACAGCAGTGTACACACTGTTGGGGAACAGTAAGTTAACAATCTAGCCAGGCGCATACCAGCGCATGTGGAATAGTGGATGAGGCCACAGTGTGTGTAACAAAAAGTCAATGCGTTTTTACTCCATTGCACTACAAATGACGCAGGAGCGGTATAAGTGTCGCCCTGAAGGACAGGATCTACAATACAGCTTAACCCTATGGGTATGAAACCTGTATCGTCAGATCGGCAGACGTAAACAGGCTTGTTACATTCGGCCAACAATGACTCCGTAGCTTAGGTCACATCTAGTGAGAACACTGTGTAGGCAATGAGAATGTGTTCAGTGCATTTTTTATAGCACAGGAACAACGAGTGAACCGTTCAGCACGGTTATGTCACACAACAGGCTCCAATGGCTAGACCACGTGTTACGCATGCCAGCACAGACTCCCGCGACACACATTGATTACGCAACCGGGGATTAGGTGGAAGGAGAGACGGGAGGCTAACCAACGACTTAATGCTTGGCCTCGGTTGGTGAATTTCGACTTCCGGGTTGGGAATCTGAAAGATGGTGAACACGCTAAGTTGGAGACACCAGTTGATGATGTGGCGAAGAGCCCGCCACAACAGCAGTGGTGTGGTGAGTCTCAAAGTCGCCCTAGTCCATTTCATCTCTAACACCAGTCATGGTCTGATGAAAGGTTAAAAAAACGAAGCATAGGATTTGTTGTTGTTGTTGTCACTTCTTTTTTACGGCTACGTACTCGCAATGCGTCACGGTCCGATAGCTGAGGCGTCTCTCATCTCTAGCAAACGTGCGAGATGAGGATGAGTGTAAAACTATACAATAGACGATAAGAATCGGTGTTTAAAAGGGAAAACAAAATAACATGGCGTAAGTTAGGATCACAAAAAACACCAACGGAGGAGTGTCTCATTTATTCCCAAGGCGTTTTGAAGGAAAGCCGCCTACATCTTCATGGCAGATTGTTTGCCTAACAAGTGAACACTAGATTAGGAACAATAACTCACTAAAGGCGGTACCATATCGGACGAGATGTGTAAGCAGTACGTTAGTATTTGATTTTCGGGTTTTGGAGCACACACCGTGCGTCTTGGATTGTGAAACACAATCTCAATTGTGACATCGGTTGACTTTGAAGTCAGCTTCTGCGAATACGGTCACTGGGACCGTCACCGAAGTGGAGGGTTTAAATGTGGCTCGCCCATCCCTGTACTCCACGATCGACGGTTTCGTCCTGGTTTGGACTCCGCAGGTCGACAACCGAACTGTGAGTGGAACTCGGCTATCGACATGATCACTAGACAGTTGAGCTCCGCGAGCAGTGATTGACACAGCGGTTAGAAGTTGAGTTTCGGGTTTTACAGCACCCGCCGTGTACGTTAGTAGTTCGTACTGATGGTTCGTTGCCATAAAATGACAGAGTTGTAAATGGTGTAGGATAATTTAGGGGTGCACAAAACCCACACAATGAAGGGGATTTAAAGCTGGGGTTTGGATATCGCAAACCAAACGATCGAGCCACTAAAACATGGATCGGACACAGAAAATGCCCGTTGGCCATAGCGAAATTCGTTGTGATCGGAGAACTGAAGTGGAATCAGTGCAAAGTAGGTATTTATGAGGTTTTCGCCAAGCGACGTGTGTGACTTGCCGTCGTGTATAGTAGCTCAAGACTACCACTCCGGGTCAGGCAACTACTGCTACGTCAAACGGACGTCAGGGTTACTTATGAGCAGACAGATTTGGTAAAACTTGTTTCGCTCATCGCAAAAAAATTATAATGCACAAAAGCCAAGCATCAATACGAAAAGCACTAGACGATAGGGGGCTCATCAGTGGCGCACGTGCTTTCGGTCCTCCTCAAGGAATCGAACCCACGAGCCCTAGTAGCTCGCATCAATAGTCAGCAGTTTATGCCAATGAGTTATGGGAGAGGATAGCCGACCATCACGGATTGAAATCTGGCTGCAATGAAGCCCGATTCATCTTCCATTGCTATGCAGATTATTGCCCATGTAGGGGACAGTGGTTGACCGTCCGGTGTCAATACTTCCTTTACCAGTAACCGTGAATCCACACAGGCTGCTGTCGGTGCAGAGTACTGCTGTGATGACCCACATAATCCCGATGCAGGTAACGTGAGCAACAAGTGCGCGTGTGTGACGAGCTTGGTAAAACACTAGCAACGGTGCAGACTAGGTGAATATGTAAAGTACTCACCCAAATTCCGTATCTGCAAGGATAGAAGTTGAGCTAGCGCCAAACCCTCCAGAGTGACGCGATAAAAGGAGTCGTTCATCGCCCACAAGGCCAGCTGAAACAAGAAGAAAATGGAGCAAGTGGAGTGTGGAGGCAATAAAGGAAGAAAAAGTGAAGAGAATCAGGAAGTGTAAATGAACGGCAATGATAGAGCCGCTTTATAAGGTTTTAACCACGAAAAATTACGTAAAAGCAATCAAGGGTGGCAACGGCTGGGTTGCGCGCAAGCCAGATGGGTGTCGAGAGACTATGAGTTAGAAACTTTGGTATCAATTGTTCCGCGTGAGTTGTGGCATGTATTCAAAAGACAGATCAGTGTTCGGGGACCGTAAACAAACAGGGGTGGTGGTGGACGGGGAAAGACTCTATGGGGCACCATCATTATATAGCGCCGGGAGAAATCGAATTAGCTCTTCGTTGGCTCAGTCGTGTATTGTGCATGCAGTTGGATAAAAATCTAATGCGTTTGAACGATGACAGGGTAAGGGAGTAAAAGCACGAAGTCACCGAATGTCTGAGTCGGATTGGTGTTGTCATCTTCGCGGATGGGATCATTGGAACTGGTCACGTCGTGGAGAGACGCTCCATTGGCGTCATTAATTTAGGCGCTTAACTAATGCATCTGACGACTTGTGTTTCTGGTCATTCTCTTTGCATTACTGATGGAATGGTTATTAGTTTGGCGATAAGTGTCCATGCCATCGAATCTGATGCAACTCGATGCGCAGATCACGAGGATGGAAGGAAATAGGCTGAATCGCATTCACACCACTCGAGCAGATTAAAAAACGATGTATGTGTGTGAAACATGCCCGTGAAAATTGAGCAGCTGCGGGAAAAATCAGAATGACTTCTACTCCGAAAATAACCACGCATCATCTCCTATGGCCGCCAAGCCGTGGTGTTCGACCAAGTGCTTGTGATGGGAGCTGGAAATACTGTAATGCCGATCGAAAGTCACAGGTCAGACCAATAGGGAGTGAGCATGTTGCCGGAAGCAGATTGGTCAGCCAATCAGGAAATAGTTGGAGCGTGATCGCGTCCAACCCGCAACCATTCACTGAACGTGCAAGTGACCAATCAGGCGCAATCAGGCGAAGAAGCGCATACTCGTGCACTTTTGAGTCAAGGCTTGCGGCATTGGACCGAGGGAAGAAGCGCGCAGGCTCAATCCCGCCAATCCTACATCCATTAAGAAAGTCAAGGTGATTTTAGACAGAGTGAAAGTGGCGAGCAAGCATAAACCAATGGAAAAGGAGCCAGCGACACAGAGCAAATAACAGGGATGAGCCATTGAAACGGACTGTTGTAAATAGTGTATATACTCTATAAATATTCGATCGTAATCTTAATAAACGACTTCATGATTGCGGCTCAGTCTTCTTGCTTCCCGGAGGGCAACAGGACAGTGCTCAGTCAGTAGGTGTGACCAACAGAGCAGTTAAAACTGAGCGAGGAACCAGAAAGCTTTTGGCCCGAAGCCAACTGGAGAATTCCCGCTTTAATAATCCGTTGTTCCCACCAGACGTGACCAATATTCCGCAAGCACCGGGGGTCAAACACGGCCAAGCGTTTAATCTCTTCACTGACAGCTGGCCAGGTCTCTGATCCATACAGTAACACAGGCTTAATCACAGCGTTATACAACCTACCTAGCACTGACAGGCTGATATCCCGCCGCATCCATAGATGGTTGAGTCACTAGAAAGCCACACTGGCGTTGCCGTAACGCGAACTAACCCCCTCAGTGATGTGACCACCAGAGATGACACAACTACCAAGGTAAGTGAACCGATCCATCGATTCCAGTAGCTGTTCGGAAATACCTAAATCCAGGGACGTGTCGGTTCAGTTCTGAAACAGCAATTTGTAC